CCTGGAGACAAATCCACGCACCTGTGGGCACTTATCTTTGACGAAGGAAACAAAAGTATACGATGGAGAAAAAACAGCCTCTTCCCAATAAGTGGTGCTGGGAAAACTGGACAACTACATGTAAAACAATGAATTTAGAATACTTCCTAACACCATTCACAAAAATAGACTCAAATGGATTAAAGACTTAAATGTAAGGCCAGAAACTATAAAACTCTTAAAGGAAAACATAGGCAGGACACTCAACATAAATTATAGCAGATCCTCTTTGACCTACCTGCTATAGTAATGGAAATAGAAATAAAAAATAAATCAATGGGACCTAGTTAAACTTAAAAGCTTTGCATAGCAAAGGAAACTGTATACAAGATGACAGATAACCCTGAGATTGGGAGAAAATAATTGCAAATGAAACAACTGACAAAGGATTAATCTCCAAAATACATAATCAGTTTATGTAGCTCAACGTCAGAAAAACAAACAACCCATCAAAAAATGAGCAGAAGACCTAAACAGATATTTCTTCAAGGAAAACACACAGATGACCAATAAACACATGAAAAGGTGCTCAATATCACTCATTGTAAGAGAAATGCAAATCAAAACTACAATGCGTTATCTTCTCATATCTTGACCATAGCCATGGTCAGAATGGCTATCATCAAAAAATCTACAAACAGTAAATGCTGGAGAGGACCTGGAGAAAAGTGAACCCTTTTGTACTGTTGGTGGGAATGTAGATTGATACGGACACTATGGAGAACTGTATGGAGATTCCTTAAAATACTAGGAATAAAACTATCATATGAAGCATAATTCAGAAGACACAGGTACCCCAATGTTCATTGCAGCACTATTTACAATAGCCAGCACACAGACACAGCCTAGATATCCGACAACAGATGAATGGATAAAGAAGCTGTGGTACATATACACAATGGAATATTGCTAGGACATAAAAAAGAACAAATGTGAATCAACTGAACCGAGGTAGATGAACCTAGAGCCTATTATACAGAGTGAAGTAACTCAGAAAGAGAAAGACAAATATTGTATATTAACACATACATATGTAATCTAGAAAAATGATACTGATGAACCGATTTGCAGGGCAGGAATAGAGACACAGACATAGATAATGGACTCATAGACACAGCAGGGGAAGCAGAGGGTGGGATGAATTGAGAAAGTAGCATTGATATATATACACTACCATGTGTGAAACGGAGAGCTCGTGGGAAGCTGTTATATAATACAGGGTTACCAGCCTGGTGCTCTGCGATGACCTAGAAAGGCAGATGGTGTGGGTGGGAGAGAGGCTGAAGAGGGAGGGGATATATATATATGTATAATATATATATATGACTGATTCCAAATTTGCTGGCATATTGAGAGCACTCATATATGCCAGCAAATTTGGAAAATTCAGCAGTGGCCACAGGACTGGAAAAGGTCAGTTTTCATTCCAATCCCAAAGAAAGGCAATGCCAAAGTATGTTCAAACTACCACACAGTTGTACTCGTCTCAACATGATAGCAAAGTAATGCTCAAAATTCTCCAAGCCAGGCTTCAACAGTACATGAATGGTGAAATTTCAGATGTTCAAGCTGGTTTTAGAAAAGACAGAGGAACCAGAGATCAAACTGCCAACATCCATTGGATTATTGAAAAAGCAAGAGCGTTCCAGAAAAACATCTATTTCTGCTTTATTGACTACACCAAAGCCTTTGACTGTGTGGATCACAACAAACTGTGGAAAATTCTTCAAGAGATGGAAATACCAGACCACCTTACCTACCTCCTGAGAAATCTGTATGCAGGTCAAGACGTAATAATTACAACCAGACCTGGAACAACGGACTAGTTCCAAATCAGGAAAGGAGTACATCAAGGCTGTATATTGTCACCCTGCTTATTTAATTTATATGCAGAGTACATCATGCAAAATGCTGGCCTGGATGAAGCACAAGCTGGAATCAAGATTGCTGGGAGAAACATCAATAACCTCAGATATGCAGATGACACCACCTTATGGCAGAAAGTGAAGAACTAAAGAGCCTCTTGATGAAAATGAAAGAGGAGAGTGAAAAGGCTGGCTTAAAACTCAACATTCAGAAAGTTAAGTTAAGAAAGCATCCGGTCCCATCACTTCATGGCAAATAGATCGGGAAACAATGGAAACAGTTGATGGACTTTATTTTCTTGGCTCCAAAATCAGTGCAGATGGTGACTGCAGCCATGAAATTAAAAGAGGCTTGCTCCTTGGAAGAAAAGCTATGACCAACCTAGACAGCATATTAAAAAGCAGAGACATTACTTTGCCAACAAAGTCCATCTAGTCAAGGCTATGGTTTTTTCCAGTAGTCATGTATAGATGTGAGAGTTGGACTATAAAGAAAGCTGAGTGCAGAAGAATTGATGCTTTTGAACTGTGGTGTTGGAGAAGACTCTTGAGAGCCCCTTGGACAGCAAGAAGATCAAACCAGTCCATCCTAAAGGAAATCAGTCCTGAATATTCTTTGGAAGGACTGATGCTGAAGCTGAAACTCCAATACTTTGGCCACCTGATGTGAAGAACTGACTCATTGGAAAAGACCCTGATGCTGGGAAAGATTGAAGGTGGGAGGAGAAGGGGATGACAGAGGATGAGATGGTTGGATGACATCACCGACTGAATGGACATGAGTTTGAGTAAGCTCCAGGAGTTGGTGATGGACAGGGAGGCCTGGCGTGCTGCAGTCTGTGGGGTAGCAAATATTTGGACATGACTGAGCGACTGAACTGATGACTGATTCACGTTGTTGTATGGCAAAAAGCAATACGACGTTGTAGAGCAATTATCCTTCAATCACAAAAAAATAATAAATTTTCTAGAACATGAGGGAAAAATGAGAAAAAAAAGAAATATCAAATCACTATATTGTGTGACAGGACCTAGCACAGTGTTGTAGGTCAGTTATACTTCAGAAACTAATTCATAGGAAAACAGAGATCGAATTTTTGGTTATCAAAGGTGGAGGGTTGTGGAAGGGGAATTATTTAAAAACAATCAAAAGGTACATACTTTCAGCTATAAAATAATAAGCATTAGGGGTGTAATGACAACATAATAAATGTGATTAACATTGATGAATGTTCTATGTGAAAGCTGTTGAGAGTAAATCCTAGGAGTTGTCATCACAAGGAAAAAAAATTTTCTATTTCTTTAATTAAATTTGTATTTATACAAGATAATGGATGCTCACTAAACCTACTGTGATAATCATTTCATGATGTATGTAAGTCAAATCATTGTGCTGTACACCTTAAACTTACACAGTGCTGTATGTCAACTATATCTCAACAAAACTGGAAAAAAGAAAGAAAAGCTTTCTAAGGAGATGTGATAGTCCCTCCAGGATGCCATCAAAAAATATCGTTGAGTGGTTGCTTATAAACAGCAGATATTTATTATTCATAGTTTTGAAAGGTGTCAGAATAGTTGGTGAGTGTCTTTTTCTGGGCTGCAGACTTCTCATTGTATCCTCATATGATGGAGGGCACTAGGGAGCTCTGGATTTCTAAGAGCACTAATCTCATTCAGGAGAGTGCCTTCCTTATGATCTGATAACCTCCCAGAGGCTCCATCTCCCAGTACCATTATCCTGGGTTAGGATTTCAGCATATGAATTTGAGGGGAACACAAACCTTCAAGCTGTAGTGGAAGAGGAGCAACAATGATAGTTGAATGTGTAGGGACATGTGACTGGCAAAAATTTCCAAAACTCAAACAGGAACAATGTCTTCAGATCATCTTGGGGAAGAGGAAACTGGGGAGATGAAAGCTGCCCCCACCCCCACAACGCCCTACCCCCTTTCTCAGTACCAGGGCTAGAAAGGTCGTTTAGAGTCAGCAGATGGAACACAGTTGATGAATAGTTTCTACGGTGTTTGAATTTGGCCAGGAGTGTTTCTAAAGTTTCTATTTTTTGAGATGTTTGCTTAGCTATTGTGAGCATTTTTTTTTTTCCATTTTGTGTCTTAATTAGCTGTTGGGAAAAGTAAGTTGTATATTTATCTAGTCACTGCTTACAGCATGTTATTAAAAACACTTAATTGTTTTGAGGTTTTCTAGGACTAGCTTATTGCAAACAATGACAAACTTATCCTCCTCTCACATAGTTACAGCCCTCATTTGTCTTAACTGTTTTACTGCACTGGTTAGAATTTCTAGAGCTCTGTTGGAGAGTAAAGGAAATAGTAGGCTTTTGGACATTCCTACTTTGTTTAAGATTTAGTGAGATTGAGTCTAGGGCCTTACAGTTAAACATCATGTCATCAGCTGGTTTCAGATAAGCTATTCTTAATTAGGTTAAGAAAGTGTTCTTTTGCTACCAAAATTGGTAGTAAAAGTAAAAACAATAGCAACTACAAACCAAGAATAGATAATTGAATTTTATTGGATTGAATTTGGAAAGTTTTTTTTTAATAACATAAACACGGCTCTGTCATCTTTAATTCCTAAGAACTAGCAGATTCAAAGGTGAAATAGTGGTGAGCTTTCCAAGTGCACTATTTAAAGTTCTGAGGGCAGAGCAGGCTTACTCAGCAAGATACAACACTCAAAAAGGAACGGCATGCAAGGTTAGGCCAGAGGAAAAGAGGAACTGGTGGTTGCTATTTATGTAAAATTTTTAAGGAAGTTGTTTATTCCCAATAATGGAAGAGATCAGAGAGGCATTTAATCATTAGACTGTCAAAACAGAACTCTACTACAGCTGATTAAAATCTTTAAAAAATTTTTTATGGAGAAAGATTTAATCACTTTCTCTACTGGTATGCTCTGATGTCTTCATGAAACCTGGAAGTTCTTCCTGATCTGAATCTTTCTTGCTGAGATACAGGCTTGTTTTTTCCTCCTATGCCTCATCTTTAAAAAAAAAACCCCAAAACAGTAATTTCCCTATAAAGGAAGTGCAAGAATTCATAAGGAACTGCACCCCATTAAAAAGCCCAGGATTCACATGACCACTTGAGAGTATTCCACTGGTTCAGAGACAGCAGGGTTCACAAAAGTCCAGAAATTGGGCTTGTGGCTCTTTGGTTTGACATTGACATAATCTGTGGCTTCCTTTATGTTCTCATAGTCCAGGACAGAGTCATTTCTTCGGTCTCCAGGGGCTGCAAAGACTACTTGTGTGTAGTTCACATCCTTGGTGACCTTAGGGGGGAAAAGCAAAGAAATTTGGGTCAAAATTCCTACCACGTTTGGAGAAGGCATTCAACTCAAAGAAGCTTGCCCTAGGCCAGATGGGAAAGAACCTGGAAAGAACCTGGGAAAGAACCTGGTGTCTGAGAGCAGGGCCAAGGCAAAGAGAGAGATTGCTCCTTGCACCTGTGGGAACGAATGGCTTAAGGAAGAAAAATGTGGAGACTCTCCAAGTGAGGTCGGGACTCAGAGTGGACTTTGGCCAGTAACTGGGACGTGGGGAGAAGGGGATTTCCTGTGAGCACCTTCATTTTTAGAGCCCACTCAGACCCGCTTGGTCTGGACGCTCTGTGCTGTTGGTACAGGCCTGTGGGTGAAAACCCGACCGCCCTCACGGAAGGCTGCTGTAATGACTCGGTGGCCCTCCTTCCTTGCTCCCGTCTCTGCAGCCCAGGTGACCCCAGACTGCTGGGGTCACTAGGGGTGTCCCTTACCTGGCAGGTGGTGGGAGGTGAGCTGTCTGAGCTGTCAGAGCTATCTGAGGACGTGTCACTGTCATCTAGGGAAAAACAGAAATTGTTCTTCTTCTAAAGGCAGCCAGAGGGTGTTTAGAGAGTATAAAGGCAATGGAAGGAAGCATGAGACAAAGACAGAAGCAGAGCCAGCATCTCAAGTGGAGTGGGGAAGAGAGACCAGTGTCCCCCAGAGAGAAGAGAGGAATGGAGCAGAGAAAGTGGAAACCTCTGGAAACAGCCAGGAACATATCCAAGAGTCCAGGCCCTGCTGTATTTCCAGCTCCATCGAAAAGTAAATACCAAGCCCGCAAGGCTGCCCTGTGCTTGAGAAAGACTGTCTGCTGGAAGGGGAGTAAGTAGGGTGTGCTGAGCCGCTATGGCCCAAGGCAAACAGATCTGGCCCCAGAAATCACAGGCACAGCTTCTAATCTAAGCCTGTCACTAACTCCAGGCAGATTACATTTCTCTTTGTGCCCTGGTCTTGTCCCCTGTGACAGACAGGGTTGGATGAGGATCTCTGATGTCCCTGCCAACCACAGAGTCTCTGATTGCAGCCAGGCTTCAGGGAAGCTTTGGGATCAAGGGTCATGGTGAGGCCAGTGCCTCTCCACTTCTTCTGAAACCCTGAGTTCATGCAAGTGGCATCTTTTGGGTCCCTCATGCATTGAAGCCTTATCTTGGTGCTGAGGAAGCCTGACAACCAGATTTCTTTAACGGAAAAGATAAAATTCAGAAGGATGGGGCAAGCTTAAATCAACCAAAAGATATGCAGTGAAAAGGGCAATCTCTGGTGAGTGAATGTCTTGCTGCGGAAGCAGCAGCTTGCACTGTGTGAAGAGTGGCCTGGCAGCTCTCTCAAGTGGGGAGAGAGAGAAAACAGCAAGAGTGTGGTGTTCCTGTTGGTCCCCTTGCTGGAGGGAGATACAGATGTGAACCGTCACCAAGACTCAGGTTTATTAAAATGCCCAGATCGCATGGCTGGGAGCAGACAGAGGTGGTTGAAATCTGGGCTCTAGCTAACGGCGGGTGAAGAAAAGATACCATCGTGTCACAGAGACAGGAGCAGAGACAGCGCCCAAGCCTGCCAGGCAGCCAGGAAAGAGCTAAGGCCTACACAAACCCACTGCCGTCTGCCCCGCCGGATAGGACGGGTGGCCTTCTGAAAGCAGCGGCCTGGCTTGGCCTGCACTGGGGAGGGTGTGAGGAATCCTCTGGCTCGTGGTTGGGGCAGGAAGACGGGCTGCTGCGAGGAGGCTCCCCGGGTACTCCAGACACAACAGCAGCAGTGCTATGGCACGTTCCCCTCGCAGTAGTACTCACGCTGGTAGTGAGGCTCGGGCACCAGGACGTTCCTCTCCACCCGAGTCTCCTTCCTCTCCTTGGCAGCAGGCGGGCAGCAGTGAGCTGGACTAACACTGGGGGCCTGGGACCTGGCCCCTTTCAATATGCGCTCATTTTCCTTGGCTGCCGGGGACAGGGCAAGTGTCAAAAGTGGATGTTCTCCTGGCCAGGCACATCCTGCATCTGTGAGCACAGCTCTCCTGAGGGAACACTCCTCAGACAGATCTCTTCAAAGCTCAGCCCTCCGCTGCTCAGAACCCTGCAGCACCCCGGCCTCACTCGGAGTAAAAGCTCCAGTCCAAGCCGGAGGCCTCACCTCCCTCCCCCTTCCTGCTGCACCTCAGCTCCATCCCGCTGGGCCCCTCTGCTTCCAGCCAGAATGAGCAAATCCCCTAGTTTATGGACTTCGTAGGTGTGGCTCACTTCCTCACTTCCCTCAGGGTTAGACTCAAATGTCAGTGTCTCAGGGATGCTGACCCCCATCCCGTTCATATCTCCCTGCCTTGCTTCATTTCTCTGTACACTTACCCTGACCTGACACACATTTTATTTGCTTGTTTGTTGTCTGTATTACCCACGGAATGCAAGGTCATAATGGCACGGATTTTTATTTTGATTCCTGTTGTACTGGATAAATGAATGAATGACGAGAGAAGCTTAGACTTACATCATCCTGCTCAATCCCTTGTCTTAGCACAGCCCAAGCGGTGTTATTTTACTTCCCCTAATTATAATGTCTTCCTTGGACACAGCATCCTGTCTTTCACTGCAAATCAGCTCAGAAATTTAAGCTAATATCTTAGGCTAACCATACTCCTTTCTGTTGTAATTCAAGGCCATTTCTACACGTCTCTTGGCAGTGATGAAGGAAATTTACTACGCTCGGGTTAAGTAAGCCCAGCCTCAAGAGCATCGCAGAAGCTTGTCTCTAGGCAGGAGGTCTGGGTAGCAAAAGGACTCTCAGCCGTCATTCCCAAGCAAAGATGGGCCGGGTCAGAGCGAGATAACCCACTTAGAGGTTGGTGGAGTGAGGGGACACCTGGCTAGCGATTCCTCAAGTAGGATTTCAAGTGATATTTGGGGGCTCATCTTGCTGTGGGCTTGGGAATGGTCCCTGAGGGGGACCAGGAGGGAAGAGAACGCTGAGCCAGTTACCCATGTGCCTGCTGAGCAGGTAGTTGATGACTGCGAGGAGACAGGCCTGCAGGATCAGCGACACTACTGCAATCACGATTCCATGCCAGACCTCCATGACCCTGTTGGGAAACGAGGAAATCAGGTGAGAGGTTCTGGAGGTGCTGAGACAGCTGCAAACCCATCCCTGCCCCAAGCCAGGGGCAGCCTGCAGGTAGCGCTGCTGTGGCTTGAGTCCCTTCCCTGTTGAAAAGGGAAGGCTTCAGGACCCGGGGAGGGTGCTGTCCGCAGGAAGTGATGTTCCCTTCACGGGAACCTGAGCCGGCTCTCCCCAGACCACTCACTGAGCTAGCATGACAAGCTCCTGGAGGGCCGTTGCGGGTGGCGAGTGGGGCACAGGCTCTCTCTGGCACCTTGTCTCCAGGCAGCACCCCCGGCAGGACGGCCCTGGAGACCGGCAGAGGTGAGGCAGTGCGTCAGAGCTCTTGGGCAGTCTCTGCCGGTGGGGGGTCGTCTCCTTTCCTCTCCCCAGATTCCAGTTTCTGAATCTACAAAACAGGCAGTAACAGGATTAGCACCTGCCAGCCCCAGGGCTGAGCCCCCTGCAGCCCGGCCCTCCGAGCTGATCCACACAATCCTAGGACCTAGATGTCACTGCCCTCCTCTTATAAGGAGCCACGTGAGGCCCAGAGGGCTGAGGGACATGTCTGAGGCCCTCCATTCAAACCTGCTTTGAGCTCTACATCCAGGCCCACACTCCCCAACATTCTGTCTCTTCTCCAGAGCCTTGCCTGCTGTTGGAAGCACAGAGCAGTCCCACAGGAGCGAATACACTGGGAGAGATTCTGTGACGCACACCAGTGTCTCACACACACACACACACACACACGTGCACCCACACTGCTGAAAGGAAATAAATTAGGAGTTTGGGATTAGCAGATACAAACTACTATATATAAAACAGATTAAAAAAAAACAGCCAAGGTCCTACTGTATAGTACAGGGAACTATATTTAATAACCTGTAATATACCATGATGAAAAAGTATATATATATATATATATATACATATATATACACATATATATTCTTAATCATTTTGCTATACTCCAGAAACTAACACAATTTTGTAAATCAACTATACTTCAATTAAAAAAAAATTTTTTTAGTGTCAAAAATAAAGACCACAGTGCTGAATATGGAGTGTATTATAAAACAAAGCCAAGATGGTTTCAAAGCTTTTGAAATGATCTTTACTTAGCACAAGATGGGCCACATGATGGCCCATTGTCCTGCTGCAGACGATAAATGTTGAAAAGCCTTTTATTGCCGATAAAGCTTATTTTCTCAATCAGGGTTTCCAAGTGTTAAGAGTAGTGTGGAAAGTCCTGCCTTTTTTACTTCTATCTGTAGTTCTACACTGGGTGGGCCTATCCAAGATCCAACTTGGACTAAGTTTGGAGAGAGAGGAGGCAATAACCGAGGAGGGAGCCTGAGAGGTTTGCCACCACTGCCTCTCCAAGGCTGGGTTGTTGGCCAGCTGGAAGCTGCCAGAGAGAAAAAACTACTTTCTTTTCTACATCCTTCACCAACCAACAAGCCAGTCTTCGGGAACAACTTTTTTTGTGTGAGGTCGAAAGTTGGGAGCAGACTTCCCTGGTGGTCCAGTGGTTAAAGAAGTCGCCTACCAGTGCAGGAGACGCAGAAGATCCCACGTGCCGCAGGGCGACTAAGCCCGCATGCCTCAACTACTGAGCCCCAGAGCGCCAGGGCCCGTGTGTGGCCACACTGAGCCCACACACCACGACCAGGGAAGCCGGTGCACCTGGAGCCCTGCTCCAGCAAGAGAAGCTCCCCCAGTGAGGAGCCCGCACACCGTAACCAGAGAGGAGCCCCTGCTCGCTGCAGCCAGAGAAAGCCTACACGCAGCAGCGGAGACCCAGCACCGCCAGAAAGAAAGAAAGGAGAAAAACGGGAGCAACACACGCCCAATTTAGGCATCATACTTAGCTTAAGTCACCTCTTTCTGACATAATAAGTTCTGATACATAATAAATTCTAGACACTTTTCCCAAAGGAACCTAACTCTATCCACTCTTTACTTTTCAAGTTAAATGAGCAAAGTATACCTAACATCATCACTCTTAAAGAATGCTATTTAATTTGATTTATAAAGATGGATTCAGCATCCAGACATGAGTTCTTCATTATGTATAGATTCAGTATGCGAGATGAGTCAGGAAGATGGAAAGTGGGAACATTCTAAGTGGGGGAGATCCCCCCCACCCCACTTCGTCCGAACACCCACCACCCTGGTGCCGAGGAGCACCAGAAAGTCACCTCTGGAAAAGGAGTCTCCTGTGGTTCCTTCTGCAGGAGTGTTGCATTAACTCACTTTTGTCATGGCATGAAGGGGTCACTGGGAGCAGGAGGTGGAAACTGATCCAGATGGCAAGCCAAGTGAGAGGGGACCCCAGGAAACTACCTACCTCCCCCTTTACACAAGGACATCACCAGACGGTCAGTATCAAAATCATATTGATTATGTTCTTTGCAGCCAAAGATGGAAAACCTCTAGACAGTCAGCAAAAACAAGACCAGGAGTTGACTGTGGCGCAGATCATCAGATCCTTATTGCAAAATTCAGGCTCAAACTGAAGAAAGTAGGGAAAACCATTAAACCATTTAGGGATAACCTAAATCAAATCCCTTATGATTATACAGTGGAGATGACAAATAGATTCAAGGGATTAGATCTGGTAGACAGAGTGCCTGAAGAACTATGGACAGTGGTTCATAATATTGTACATGAGGTGATGACCAAAATCATCCTGAAGAAAAAGAAATGCAAGAAAGCAAAGTGGTTGTCCGAGGAGACCTTACAAGTAGCCGAGAAAAGAAGAGAGGCAAAGGAGAAAGGGAAAGATTTACCCAAATGAGTGAAGATTTCCAGAGCATAGCAAGGAGAGATAAGAAAGCCTTCTTAAGTGAAAAATGTAAAGAAATAGAGAAAAACAATAGAATGGACAAGACTAGAGAGCTCTTCAAGAAAATTAGAGATGCAAAGGGAACACTTCATGCAAAGATAGGCACAATAAAGGACAAAAACAGCAAGGACCTAACAGAAGCAGAAGAGATTTTTAAAAGGTGGCAAGAATACACAGAAGAACTGTACTAAAAAGCTCTTCAGTTCATTTCAGTCGCTCAGTCGTGTCCGATTCTTTGCAACCCCATGGACTGCAGCACGCCAGGCCTCCCCGTCCATCACCAACTCCCCGAGTTTACTCAAACTCATGTCCATTGAGTCGGTGATGCCATCCAACCATCTTATCCACTGCCGTCCCCTTCTCCTCCCACCTTCAATCTTTCCCAGCATCAGGGTCTTTTCCAATGAGTCAGTTCTTTGCATCAGGTGGCCAAAGTATTGGAGTTTCAGCATGAGTCCTTCCAATGAATATTCAGGACTGATTTCCTTTAGGATGGACTGGTTTGGTCTCCTTGCAGTCCAAGGGGCTCTCAAGAGTCTTCTCCAACACCACAGTTCAAAAGCATCAATTCTTCGGTGCTCAACTTTCTTTATAGTCTATCTCTCACATCCATACATAGCTACTGGAAAAACCATAGCTTGGATTAGATGGACCTTTGTTGGCAAAGTAATGTCTCTGCTTTTTAACATGCTGTCTAGGTTGGTCATAGCTTTTCTTCCAAGGAGCAAGCATCTTAATTTCATGGCTGCAGTTACCATCTGCAGTGATTTTGGAGCCCCCCAAAATAAAGTCTCTCACTGTTACCATTCTTTCCCTATCTATTTGTCATGAAGTGATGGGACCAGATGCCATGATCTTAGTTTTTGTAATGTTGAGTTTTAAGCCAGATTTTTCACTCTCCTCTTTCACTTTCATCAAGAGGCTCTTTAGTTCCTCTTCACTTTCTGCCCTAAGGGTGGTGTCATCTGCATATCTGAGGTTATTGATATTTCTCCCAGCAATTGATTCCAGCTTGTGCTTCATCCAGTCCAGCATTTCTCATGATGTACTCTGCATATAAGTTAAATAAGCAGGGTGACAATATACAGCCTTGATGTACTCCTTTCCCAATTTGGAACCAGTCTGTTGTTTCATGTTCAGTTCCAACTGTTGCTTCTTGACCTGCAAACAGATATCTCAGGAGGCAGGTTAGGTGGTCTGGTATTTCCATCTCTTGAAGAAGTTTCCACAGTTTAATGACCCAGATAACCATGATTGTGTTGTCACTTACCTAGAGCCAGATATCCTAGAGTGTGAAATCAAGTGGGCCTTAGGAAGCATTACTATGAACAAAAGTAGTGGAGATTATGGAATTCCAGCTGAGCTATTTCAAATCCTAAAAGATGATGCTGTGAAAGTGCTGCACTTATTATGCCAGCAAATTTGGAAAACTCAGCAGTGGCCACAGGACTGGGAAGGTCAGTTTTCATTCCAATCCCAAAGAAAGGCAATGCCAAAGAATGTTCAAATTGCACTCATTTTCAAGTTGAACTGTACAATTGTACAACTGATGAGTGCACATCCCAGCAAGATGATGCTCAAAATCCTTCAAGCTAGACTTCAGCAATACGTGAACCGAGAACTTCCAAAAGTACAAGTTGGATTTAGGAAAGGTAGAGGAACCAGAGGTCAAATTGCCAGCATGTGCTGGATCATAGAAAAAGCAAGGGAATTCCAGAAAAAAATAATCTGATTCATTGGTTATTCTAAAGCCTTTGACTGTGCGGATCACAATGAACTATGGAATATTCTTAATGAGATGGAAATACCAGACCACATTACCTGCCTCCTGAGAAACCTAAGGACAAGAAGCAACAGGTAGCACTAGACATGGATTAATGGACTAGTTCAAAATTGGGAAAGGAGTACAACAAGGCTGTACATTGTCACTCTGCTTATTCAACTTATTTAACATCATGTGAAATGCTGGGCTAGATGAATCACAAACTGGAATCAAGATTGCTGGGAGAAATATCAACAACCTCAGATATGCAGATAATGGCAGAAAGTGAAGAGGAACTAAAGAGCCTATTGATGAAGGTGAAAGAGGAGCATGAAAAAGCTGGCTTAAAACTCAACATTCGAAAAACAA